ACACGCATTTCTTTCCGAACAACCTAATAGATGCCATGAGCTAAACAGTACCTGCAGAAGCGCGTAAGCAAGCTGAGGATTTTGCACGAGCATTTGTTTTGCCTCGCTAGGATTCGAACGAACAACGTCTTTCATCTGCTTCATCAGTTCGAACATTTTCTCCGGTGGAAGAGAGGCAACCGTACGAGAAATCGCCTAACCATAAGACAAATTACTCCGAAGACAGTACAAGAAAGGAAAATTAACATTTTGAAACATCAAGGCTTCAACTATTACTGACGCATGACTATCATAACCGCAAAACTATGGAAAAATTCCTGTTGGTACTGTCTCTAGAAATTAGTTAATCAGTAGCCCTGCGACGAATATGAGCGTGCGTTCATACTTTGCGTCAGTGTCTTGAGCAAGCAGCGTTTTGATGAGCGAGTAGGAAAGTGTAGATATTGATCTCGCATCAGGGCCCATCACTGGTTGGGGATTCTGTAATGAACCCTGATATATTGGTGCACTTACCAAAGGAAAGTCAACAGGCTTCCCGCCATGCCATTCAAGATGAAGATCATAGTCGACGTGCATGTCCTTGGATACGAACTGAAACTCAAATCTTCTTCCGAACTGCTGAAACGATTCTGCTACGTATTTTGGTGTGTAATTTGATATGAGGATTAGGGGGGTTGGTAGGTGTTCCAGCATGCCACTCAGCTCGATCCGCTTTGCGTATCTCAATGTTGGAAGTTGGAAGTAGCAAACAGTCCACAGTGGTTCGATGGTGTAAGTGATAGTAAGTTGCTTCATAGGCGGTAGTGCAATGGGTTCGTTTCTTGACGGATCCTGACTTTTGCATTTCTTCGGAACATCTTCTGCGAGTTCAGAAAATACTTTTATCCGTTTCTTTGTCAACCTTGCACCTACCTGTAGCAGAAAAAGACTCAATTGCTGGTAATTCTGTTTCGCTTTGAAGAGTTTTAGTGTTTTTACTGCCCAAATCATTAGAAAGCAGGCCTGTTTGTTCCGCGATTTTTTCTTCGTGAGTGCAGAATATGGGCTGAAGCAGTTGCCTACTAGGGTATCCTATCTGAACATGAATTATCACATCCGCTCCGGAAGCAGGGTCCGAAAATCTCCCTCGGCACGCGTGTCACAGCGCGCAGCTGCCAGAATATCCTAGATCACCAATCGTTGAAAAACTATGGTACTGGGGTATTTGACGCCCTCTAGACACGAATATCACACCCGTACAGTCTGAAACCGCCTGACGCATACGCCACAAGCGACCCATCACAGGACTGTTCCGACTCCGGCGCGTGTAGCAGACATCCAGTCGCTTTCGTGCGAGTCTCTGTGCTAGGGCAGTTGGGCAAATTGGCCGAAGTAACGTACCACTCTTCCTGGTTGCCTGTCATAGAAATCCTTCCCTTTGCTGAGGTTCAGCCTGCAGAGGAAGGGCCCCATCTCAGGGGATGGTGCAGACGCAGGTTGCGCAATCACATCATCCCTTTTTCTCTATCCCAAACATTCTCAACGCCCCACGCAGATGTGACTGTTTAGGAGGTCGAACTGCTCCAGTTGAAAAGTTTAGTGCTTCTGGTGATTTCGAGTTTTATGGCGCCGGCGCCAGGCATTTCCGGGCTCAGCTAATGGGGTATGTGTGTCCAGGAGGTCAAACTATCCCAGTTGACAAGTTTTCAGCGAACTTGGTGATCTAGGGTATTTTGGCGCTGGCGCCTGTGACACGGGTGAGGAGGTTTCGTGCCGAGCGGATGTGATAATCATGTTCAGATGGGCAGACTACCCTAGTAGGCAACTTTTCAGCCAATTCTGCTCACGAAGAAAAAAGTCGGGCAAAAACAGGCCTGCTTTCGGGTGATTTGGGCAGTAAAAACACTAAAACTCTTCAAAGCGAAACAGAATTGCCGGCAATTGAGTCTTTTTCTGCTACAGGTAGGAGCAAGGTTGACAAAGAAACGGATAAAAGTATTTTCTGAACTCGCAGAAGATGTTCCGAAGAAATGCAAAAATCAGGACCCTTCAAGGAAACGAACCCATGACCTCCCGCCTATGAAGCAACTTACCTATCCACTACACCATCGACCACTTGAGACTGTCTGTACTCGAACTTAACTTGAGCTACGCAAAGGAGGATCGGCGAGTGCTATGCTAAAACCACCACCCCCCTAACTCCTCATAGAGAATCGTTCAGCAAATTTTGGAAGCAGATTTGAGTTCAGCGTCCCAAGACCTACACGTCGATATGCATCTCATCTTGAATGGCCATGGCGACCTGTTGACCTTCCTGGTTAGATGCAGTAAATAATTAAACAAATAAACCCTCCCCTAGCTCTGATACGATTGAGCTGGGGAGGGGGGATGGGCTATAGCACATGTAGAACGGCAAAATTTTCCTCGACTCCACAAATTTTATAGGGTCCGTGAAAAAAAACACACTAAATTATCAACACAATTTTTTCCAAGTGAATGCCACCGTTCTTCCCCCACGACGCATATACGACTCCCTGTTGAGGGATCCCCAACGATCATGACCTCTGTCTGGCGTTTTGAGTGTTTCGCAAGTTTTTGTGCTTTTCGCGGGCAGTCGCCGCCGTAGGTACAGAACGCTCGTTCGATATTCATACCTTCCAGGCGCTTAAAACGTTGCCTTACGCCGGCGTGGGCTGAATCGATACCTATGCTTTCTTAGTCACTCAAAACGCCAACGCAGAGTGTGAATGCAGCATCGATAATGACGCTGGTATCATTAGTTTTCCTCAATTCCCAAAAAAAAGCGTATAAAATAAGTCATATTCGTGACTCGGCCTTCGACACCCTACTATGCAAGTTTATACTGAATTCGTTTGGAGAAAACGTCGTGGCGCAAAGTTACTGCCGGCACCGGGCTAATGCCGTTTGGACGCGCTCACTTTTGGCTGCTGGCTAATTTATGAAGTGTCTAGATCACACTAATCCGCTGAAAACCTGTATACAGGGGTAATTTAACATCCTGATTACGAATATGACATACATTCTTGGCGCTAGCCTTATGGGAGAGCACTACGATTATCTGCGCTCTGCTAAGATTGAGCCCAGGAAATAATCGTAGTGTCCTCTCATTAGCGCCAGCGCAAGAATGAATGTCATATTCGTAATCAGGATGTTAAATACCCTGTATACAAGTTTTCAGCGGATTTGGTGATCTAGGCACTTCATAAATGAGCCGCAGCCAAAAGTGAGCGCGTCCAAATGGCAACAGTCCTGGCAAACGTCGCAGAAAAAAAAACAATACGTCCCTAGTGAGAGCACCAGATAACGCAGTACACAACTTATGTTTTCATGGAATGATCGCTTTCGCCAAATGGTTGGCCCAATGGCGAAGCGAAAATAAGTGAAACTGTTTATCAGCGCACTAAATAAAACCCATATAGTTCTGACGAGAAATTATCTTATAATGATTGAAAGGAGCCGTATTTCGCAAAAAAACACACCTCGGGGGCACGGCCCTTCTTCAGGCTCTGGCCCATAAGGGCTTTCCTCCACCTGAGCTGCGCTCAAAGCTGCTTGTAGCTGTTGTATCTCGTCAACACTACGATCTCCTCCTGCAGCACTGTCCACTCGGAGCTGGCGACCGTTCACCTCATATCTTAATGAGGTGCATTTGAAACAAAAAACAGATGGAAACATGGGCACAAAATCCTTCTTGTAGACCCTTTCCTAGTAAACTATAACCAACTCTTGAATGACTAGTGGGATAGCTTTATTAGAGGAAGGCGAACTTGGTGCTTACCCATTCAAATTCCTGATGGCCAGTTCAGCAGTCTGTACGTCAAGAAATTCGATGAACCCATAACCCTTAGGCTTGCCAGTTTCACGGTCATGGACCATTTTGATATGGACGACATGTCCCACCTAAATATGCTCATTTTGACAAACCTTCCCAATTCTTATCTCCGCAACTACTGTTTGAAAAAACCCACCTTTGAAAAAATCTGACGTATTGTCTCCTCGGGCACTTCATATGAGATGTTTCCCACTGAAGAAAAAGTGGAATTATGGGAACAGAAGAGAAGAATGTAAACGCCTCACCAAATACTGAGCGTTGAGATCTATCCACTTGCATATTCTGTCTTCAACTGCGAATTAACCTGGCACCTGCAGTAAATCAATTTTAACAGTATTACATCGAGATTCGAGCAGAATCCAGGGTGAAGTGAGAATCCATTCGTAACTTATACCAAAATGGAATGAATAAGTTATAAAGTGTAGAGGTATAAAGTGCCTAGGTCTCCATCAATAGAAGCACTAAAAGGTGAAACGATCCCCAACTATTTCAGCCGTCAAATATGCGGCATCGAGAGGTATGCCGACCGTTGGGACACCATATTAACCGTACAAATCCTTCTGAGAGACGGGCACATTTCGGGATTTGGGTGGGGTGGGAATATGTTTACTCTGAATTTCCATGTAACGGTGCACCTAGTGTAAGCTGTACCACACATGTGCAATGGGGCGCTGGTTAGATTGTGTTTCGACACATCGTCGGTTGAAACAGCCCTTGAAAAACCACCATGACATAGAATGAACGATGTGAAGGTTACAGGCCACTCTTCACAGCTCGCCAGGCCCTGACGAAAACGGCGCGTTGTGAGAAAAGCAAATAAATAGTTCATCGAACCGGATGAATCGCCCTCCAACCGGCCCAACCGCCGCGGTTGGGCGGTTGGGCGAAAAGCAGTAGATGTGTATCGATTTCGCTGGCGAAAAACGCCACCGCGATGGAGCTAGCGTTTTGTCGAAGGCGAAAAACGTCGCGGTTTGGCGAAACGCCCGTCGATACGTACCAAAACCCTTTCGCCCAACCGCCAGGCTCTTCGCCCAACCGCCAGTCGATATGTATCGAAAGCTTTTCGCCGAACCGCCGCGTTTCAGAGAAACGCGTAAGGGTAGAGGTCGTGAAACAATGCCATAGATAGTGAGCATCCTAAATGTTGCTGTGTATGCGATCGTTGTTTGTGAAATAGCAAACTAGAAGTTTCTCACATCTTTCAGTCAAAAAAGCGCTACAATCAAACGTGAACTATCTCCTTTCGTGTGGAACCCATTGGTCAGTTTTCCGAAAATACGAGTTTATTTTGGACGCACAATATCGGGGACACTACTCGATTAGCAAACACCACAGTATGAGTACGAAAATGCCGTTCTTTGGATGGTGCCAGACGAGGGTACGTGTCGTCAGTCGTCGTCATTTCAGTTATGCGAGTCGCAGGGGTAAGCGATAGATGTGCTGTTTTGATCCTAAGGACGTGTCGCACAGGCGGAAATCGTGCCCCGCGGAGCCTCATTTGAGTCTCTCGCCATTCCGACTTTGTTGGATGTAGTGAGGGGTTAGTGCCCGGGTTTGAACGGCTTTCGACACGGACAAACCGCGCCCCTGTGGCCGAACAGCTCCCTTTCAAGTTCACCAGAGTCACCCGAAGGAGGACAAAGGAGACCGAAGGATATGTGCTACAACTGTGGCGGTTCGGCTGTTTGTTCAAGATTGCCGCACTCCTCAAAGTCGTGAAAGTCAGCTTCAGGCAGGGAATTTCGGGTGTTCTGCTACAGAACTCGTGGTGGCGACATTTGTGGGAG